TTCTATAACTTCTCAACATATGTTAATAACTGTTATGTTCTATTATTTAATTAAATCGTTATTATTGTTATTCTATAACTTCTCAACATATGTTAATAACAGTTAAGTTCTATTATTTAAATAAATCGTTATTATTATTATTCTATAACTTCTCAACATATGTTAACAACAGTTAGGTTCTATTATTTAAATAAATCGTTATTATTATTATTCTATAACTTCTCAACATATGTTAATAACAGTTGGTTCTATTATTTAAATAAATCGTTATTATTATTATTCCATAACTTCTCAACATATGTTAAAACAGTTAGGTTCCGATACAATACATTACCTCCTCTCACATAAATAGCTATTATCTTTCATTGCTGCCCTCTATATACCAACATGTTTTTCGCATGTCAAAAGCCTTGAAGCTCCCACCCATTTTTGAATCAAGAGAATATGTTCCACTCTTATTGCTGCATGTGATTCCTTCTATTTAATTCTACAGAACTATCACTTCTCGTTTTGCAGGAACGTGTTGTAACATTTAGTTTGTGCTCTCTTCAGGTGTTTATTTTTCCGGTATCTTTGTATTAATTTCTCTCAACAAGTTTACTCTTTATGATACAATAGTGATATTTGTAACTTTTGAGTTATCCTAAGTGGAATTATTTTATATTTCTACCTGGTTACGGAACTTATTACTTCATTACAAATATGCCCCCAGTGGCACAGCGGTATGTCTGCGGACTTATAACACTACAATCCAGGTTTCGATACCCATGGTGGGCAGTTGTGTTTGGTTATTAATTTTGCATTATGACCTCTACGTTACCACTTCAGAGGTTATATGTTCTATTAGCACATTTACACAAGCTTCAGGTAGCAGTATTCCGCGGAAAGATTTTTGGCTGTACTTCTTCAGGAGATTAATCGTTCTATGAGCTGAACTTCATTGGGCCTCGCCTCGAGTTTAGAAACCCACACATTTTGAAATACAGTCCGACGACATTGGAAAGATAAGACATTATACTGTAATGATTTTTGAATAATTTTATTTTTTATATTATTATCTGTAGTTATTTGGGTTCTATAACATAAGTTTCATTAGATTACTTAATGCTCACAGTCAAGTTCAGGTTAGCAATTAGTTTTACGTTTAGTTGTATTTTTTCACCTATACTAGGCTTACCATGGTTTTTGTTACTTTAGGATTACCTGTAGTTCATCTTACTGTTGTTGTTTGTTATTAAGCACCACGGATATCGAAATCCGGCGGCTAGCAGTATAAGTCCGCAGACATACCACTTTATCTTACTGGTATATCCATCATTAGTTTAACTATATTGTTTTTCTTCCATACATAACGTTTCATATATATGTTATTGTTACTACACATTT